TTTTATCTACTGGTATAACTATAAATAATAACATTTTTAAATTTGAATTAGTTCAGGTTGTATGTGATGCCCCAGCGAAAGCTTTTGTTTTAAACGTTAAAGGCCATAATGCATATAATGGATGTAATTCATGTACAGTCGAAGGAGATTTTATTCATAATCGAATGGCATATTTAGATATGAACGCACCTTTAAGGACAGATCAGTCATTTCGTACAAAAATAGATGAATTTTATCATAAAGATGTTAGCCCACTTGAATACTTGCCCATTGATATGACTTCTTCTGTTGTATTAGAATATATGCACAATGTTTGTTTGGGTGTTATGAAGAGGTTATTGGCATTTTGGGTAAAAGGTAACAAATCAGTGCGTCTTGACAATCCTGAAGTTATTTCTGATGAATTAAATAAAATAAAATCATTTTTTCCTGTTGAGTTTAACCGTTTACCAAGGACTTTAGAAGAATTTGAGTACTGGAAAGCTAGTGAATTTAGAACATTCCTTATTTATACAGGACCAATTGTCTTAAAAGGACGAATAAAAAACTCTTTTTATAAACATTTTATGCTTTTAAGTTGTGCCATAAGATTGTTAATTTCCTTTAAAACTGCATATACTTATAATAATTTTGCTAAAATGTTATTAAGACAATTTGTAACTGAATATTCAGTACTCTACGGTAAAGAATATGTAGGTTACAATGTACATGGCCTTATTCATATTTGTGATTTTGTGTTACTGCATGGAAACTTGGATGCTTTTTCTGCATTCAAGTACGAAAATTATTTACAGTTTGTAAAAAAAAGTTGCAAAAATGCTAGATATCCTCTTCAAGATACGTATAACCGTATAATAGAACAAATCAATACTACGTCAACTTGTACTGTAAAAAAATATCCTATCCTCAAAAATGAAATAGATTATGATCCTTCAGTAAATAAATCAATTAATGAAACATTTTATAAAGAAATTGTTTTAGAAAATTTTACTATAAATATGAGTAATTCAAAAGATAATTTAATTTGCACTAAAGATCATGGTATTGTAAAAGTTATCAATATAATTAAATTCTTAAATGGTAAGATTAAAATTGAAGTAATGAAGTATAATACATCTATAGTATTTCAAAATCCCATTTCGTCAGATATTATAAAAATATTTTATACTCATGAAATTATTCCAAAGCCTCCTTTAACTTCAATTGATGTTGACTCTATAGAATATAAGTGTTTTTCATTTCCAATAAATGACCATAAGTCAATTGTTTTAGCATTACTGCATTCTACATAATTGTTGTTTCAATCTGTATAAGTTTTTGTTTGCTTTTGCTTATACAGTATTGAGTACTTATGTCTATAAATTAATATAGTTACCTAGTTTTTTTTTTTAATATATTCAATTAAAGTAGGTATGCTAGGTACCATCAGTTAAAATTTATATTATTCTTGTAAACATTCGTTTTTGTGTACCTACCCGTCCTACCCACTT